GAGGCACCGCCCTTGACTCGAAATTGCTACGGAACGATCCTGTTGCTGCTCTGCTCGTGTGCTATTTGTCGAGGGCGATGTCATTGTCGAACTGGGCTAAGCTGAGTTGGCATGGGCTGGATTGAATTGGGCCCGGACGGAGATCGACTGAGTTGTGCCGAGCAGCAGCTGAGAAGCGCTGGGGACACGTGGGCAGGACAGAGCTGCACTGCGCTGAATTGAAACAACTTGTGCTGGACAGGCCTCGGCTGAGCTGGGCTGGACCTGGGAGGCTAGGTTGGATGCGCTGACACTGGCTCACCAGGGCTAAGCTGGGCCCAACTGGACCGATTAGGACTTCTTTCGACTGGCTTGGCTGAGAAACAATGATACGGGCAGGCCTCGGCTGAGATGGACTGACGCGGGCAGAGCTGGGCTGGGCTGAATCGACATGAGGTGGACTGACCTGAACTGACGTGGAATGGGCTGCGCTAAGCTGGTCCGACCAGGGCCTGGGTGGGACACTCTGACATAATGCCGCGCGGATTCGCGCAAAAAGAACAATTACAACGGTCGCTCGGATTCGGTCTCCTCCTTCACCTGAGGAAGCAAGTCCACTCGGACAGTTACAGAAACGCCCAGCTCTCTCTCTGAACGCCAGTCGGATTCACCCCCCTCTGAGGAAGGTGAAGGTTCATGTTGTGCTCGAAGCGAAAACAAGATTATACAGATGAAGTGGGATGACGGTGCGAGGATGAGAAGGGGACGGCGATCTTGTGATGAAAAAGAAGGCCATGTGAGATGATAGCGACGTGAGGGTGATATACAGACAAATGTGAATTGGTGATGAGCTGAGGTGACCACGGTAAACATGAACATGGGGAGCGAATGTGTCCTGGCGCGGGGGTGCCTTGAGGAAGCGGGTGCCCCATCCAGGATGTGCATGAAGGGTGAGGTGCTACCAATACGAGACGAGGTGAGGGCGGGTTGATTGGGAGGCGTTGCAGATATTGGGGTTCTCTTGAGCGGAGCGCGCTCAGATAAATCAATACCACACTTGCGAGGAAGGGAACAACACATACAGTAATCCTACCAGCACTCTGGACTTAGGTGGTTTAGCGCGGTTCCTCCTCCAGTCCTCTTCTACCCCTTTCGGGAGGAGGCTCACCCTCCTCCTACCCCGCTCTGGAAGACTCCCCGGCCTCTTGGGGGCCGATTTGGGGGGCCGCTCGGGGGGCTTTCGAAAGCCTCGGGGGGCCTCTTGTGGGCATCTTGGGAACATGTTGTGGGCCTCTTGCGGCCATTTTGGTGCCGACTACCTTTGACGTTGCTGGCAATTTCGAAATGTGCAGCGGCTCGAGGCCCTCTTGGGGCTCCCTTCAATCCTCTTGGGGGCCTCGGGGGCCGGGTTGGATCCTAAGTGGGCCCTTCTAGAGCCTCTCGTGGGCGATCTTACACCATCAGCAGCCGACTGGGAACGAACATGCAATTATTGACTTTTTGGGGCTCTGCCAAGTTTTTGCTTGTCGGGGGTCCTGATAGATGCAGTCCAGCAAATTTCCAAGATGCCCCGGTACTGGCCAAGTCGGCTCCAAGTGGGGGGGCTCGAATGCGAATTTATAAGACCTTGCATGACTTGCTTCACTGCCGCCTTGCCTCTCGCTTCGGGTCGATCAGTGCAGGCTTGGACGCCGCCATCCTAAGCCCACGAGGCTCCTTGGAGCTGAGTGGGCAGTGCCAGCACCCAGGTGGTCATGCGACGGCCGTGGGGTGGGCAGGCGGGCCTTGTCGTACTGCGGCTTGCAAGCGGTGCCCGTCCGACCTCTGCAGTTTCCTGGCTTCTGTTCTCCTTCAGGACTGTCGGTCCAACTGTCCCCAAGGGCTCCCTGGGGAGGAAATCGAGAGGGCGCGGATTGATTGTTTTGCCTCTGAGTCTCGTCTCTGAGTTCCGACAGCAGCATGCTTGTGAAATTGGAGGCGCGGCCACCCCTGCCAGAGCTCTCTTGCCAATCCACGTGGTGGACGCCTCGGTATCATCCTTGCGGCGGTGTGCAGCAGAAGCATGGGGTGGAAGGAGAAGGAGGAGAAGGAAGGATGAGGAGGAGGAGAAGGAGGAGGAGAAGAGATGGGGAGGGAAGAAGAGATGGAGGCGGAGGAGGCGGAGGAGGGGGAGGAAGAGGGGGGCAGGAAGGAGGGGGGGGAAGAGAAGGAGGATGAGGCAGCGGATGAGGAGGAGCAGGAAGAGCAGGAGAACGGACGGGGTGGCGGGGGGAGGAGGAGGAAGAAGAGGAGGAAGCGGGGGAGAAGGAGCAAGGGGCAGGAGCAGAAGGATGAAGCACGGAACGAAGCGGTCGTTGAGCAGCCCGATGCGCGTGGGCAGACTGTACGCCCGTCTCGAGCTCGCGGCCTGCATGCTCAAAGCGAAGCACGTGAAAACGCGAGGGTGCGAATCGGGTGCTTTCTTTTCCGCAAAGCTGCACCGGGAGGCACCTTCAACAAGCCGGCAGGGCGGAGATGCGCACAGAGGAATAGAAGAGGGGGAGGAGAAAGCAGGGGAAACTTCTCCCCCCCTTCGAAATTGCGTAGCGCGCTCGGGGCTCTCAGTGCCAAGTGTGCTTGGCGTCAGTCGACGTGGGCCCTGGTGTTGTCGGCGCGAAGGACGGCCAACGTCTCGTTGAAGATCACGCGATCCAGCACCCACTGTCTCGCGTTTGGTGGGAGGTAGACAACCAGCCGTACCAAAATACTGGTGCTGATCTCTAACTTGTCCGCGTACTCCAAGACCGTGGTGCCGTCCTGGTTCGCCACCTCGAGGGCCCTTGGGGCGTCAGCCGCTCGTAATAGGCACACCCAGAACCCAATCAGATCACCCGCCCGCAAGCACAAGTGCAAGGGCGTGTCGCCACGGTGGTTGCGGAGTGTTGGGTCGGCACCCCGCACCACCAGGGCCTCCATGAGCTGGTGGCGGGTTGGCTTCAGGAGGAGTTTCCTGGGCCTCCTCAGCGACTTGGCAGCGATGTGCAGCGGCGTGTCTAAGCTCGGCTCCTCGTCGTCAACACACGACTCGGCGCCAACGGCGCAGTTCGGGTCCGCGCCCCTCCTCAGTAAGAATATCACAATGTCCAGGTGGCCACAAGCGACTGCCCGATGGATGGGGGAGCGGCCGTAAGCATCCGCAGGCCCGTCGAACTTCACGCGTTTGTCCTTGGCGAGCTGCTTGATAACCTTCAAATTTCCATCCTCGCATGCGAGATGGACGCATGTAGCGCCCTGGGAATCGACGACAGTCGGGTCTGCACCCAACACAAGCAACGCGGCAACCAAAGCCCGGTTGCCCGCCGTGCATGCTACTGCGAGCGGCGAACGGCCGTCGTTGGTGAGGGGAGCATCTATGTGGGGCAGCAAACTTTTAATCATGAACAAGCATCGCTTCACCTCCATGTCACGGATAGCGTCTACCAAGTCCTGTCGCTTGGAATCAGAATCGTCGATTTCTCTGCGGAAAGACAGCGCGTCGTCCCACCAGCGTAAAGTCTCCAGCGGCGCCTCCTCGCCCCCGTCGTCGCACAGGTGCGCTCGCCCGGCGATCTCTGCGTGCGCAACCGTGGCGGCAGCAACGAAGGATGCGACGCCAGCCAGCGCAGCGCCGCGGCCGGGCGCCGCGGCCACACCTCCGCGCCCTCTGCTGCTGGCGCCGCTGCGACCGCCGAAGCCAGGACCGCCGCCGTCGCCGAGGGGGCTACAGGGGGCGATCACGGCCGCCGAGCTGACTCTGAGGACCGACAATGCGTTTCCGCGCTTGGCCCAAGGCAGCAATCCGCATCTGAAGGGCCCGGAGAGGAGTGGCCGCAGGCCCGCGGATCCAGCGCGGCGCAGCGCCATAGCAGTGACCCAACAGAGCAAACTTGAGCCAACTTTAGGTCTGTCTATCTGTCTGTCTGTTTGTATGTCTGCCTGTCTGTCTGCCGTGCGTCCGTCTGTCTCTCTGTCTGTCTGTCTCACTGTCTCCCTCTCTCTCTCTCTACTTCGACTGCGTATTTCTAGCTGGAGGGCTCAGAGGTTAGCTAGACGAGCTTCGATATGTAAAAACCTCACGAAGGCTGAACTATTTGCTCTGAAACATACCCGTAGTCCTGCCCAGTGCCAAACTGTGTGAGATATCTGGGCGCGATCCCCCCCCCCACATGTAGATGATCTCGCGTCCAGGCGTTCTTCATCGCTTGACATAGTTTTTTGTTGTTGCTGTCGCGGTTGTTCTTGCTGTTGCTGCTGATGCTGCTAATGTTGCGGATGATGCTGTTGTTGCTGCTGTTGTATGTTCCGCGTATATATGGAGCTGCGGTTCATGGTATTGCGCAACATTAGATCCTCGCACTCATGAAGCTAACACACCAGGCTTGAATTGAAATCGCTTGCGGCAAGATCGCGCGGTGACAACTTGCGCATTGGTTTCTGACACCGCGTGGATCGTTCAACCTTGAACGAACGTGGCTTCCTGATAACGCCGATCGTTCGATATGGGCCGATTCTGGGCCAATGCCGGGGTTTAACATTAAACGTCCGAGCTTGGATCGCCGCTTCGTCGACGCGACACGAACCTATCGTATCTCGCACATTTGTTTCGCATTCGTTCCACACTCGGTCGCTTTTTAATGGCATTCGTTTCGCCCTCGATTCAGATCGATTAATAAACTTCGAGCCTTGGATCGCATCACCAGGCCGCCGAACCCTAATCGACCTTGTAACAAAGCGAGACCACGACGCTACCCCGAAACCATGCGCTCCCAGAACAATATGAAATTTGTCATCCTGAACGTTTCAACTCACCAACACCACAACATTGTTTCTACATATCTTCCCCGTGCTCCGCTTTTGTTGCTGTTTACCTCCTTGGAATGTCCTGGGTGGGCTCGGACTTCGCGACCACGGTTGCACCACAATGGTGGATAAAAACGCTACCGCTGCACACCGCTGCACCACAAGGAGCGAATTCAAGGAGACGGCAAGCTGGGGACGGAGTCCTACCCCCATCCACAACCCCCACAATGACGATAACCCGCGAGTAGCACCGACAGCGCCAGCAGGGCGCGCCCGCCGAGCCAGACGCCCCCCAGCGCGCCGCCCGGCCTCGGGGCGCCCGCCGCGCCCGCCGGGGCGGCGGCGGCGTCTCCGCTCTCGGCATCGGCGGTGGCCTCGGCCGCAGCGGGCGGGCCGTTGAGGCACCACCGTCCCGACGGTGGCCTCTTGGCCTCGTCGCAGAACTCGGGGAAGAGGTCGCGGAACTCGGGGCGGCCGCGCTTGTAGTCGAAGGACGACCTGCTGAACTTCTTCTTGTTGGCCGAGGAGTCGCGGATGCCACCGGCCGAGACGGGCTCATTGGGGTCCAGCATGAAAGAGACGAGCCCGATGAGGATGGACTCTATGCGCCAAGAGGGATTCCAAATCTCAGGGTGGCCGACATGCTCAAGCAGAGCCGAGTGTTGGTGTGGAACTGGCCTGAAGGGGTGAACATGTAGATGGCGGGCGGCTTCAGCGGGTATTCCTCAGGAAACTTCAGCTTGCCCCAGTACACGCCGCCCGAGTATGGCGTCTCCGGGGGAAGGTCTTGCAGTACGTAGTGCCACTCTAACATGTTCGTCTCCAAGGGGCGCGCGCCGACGTGCGGGATCTGCTCGTTCTGGATGTTGGCGTACTCTCGGCACAGCCTCGTCAGCGCGGCCTTGTCCCACATCGCAAAGGCGAGGAGAAGGAGCGAGGCGGCGGCGGAGAGGCGCGAGGGCGCGCAGCTCTGCCGGGCGCCGCCCGCGGGCCGAGGAAACGGCTTCGCGGGCGTGGGGTCTCTTGAGCCAAAATGGCTACGACTTGAAACATCTTTGCTTGATTCCTCTTGGAGCCTGGGGCTGGCAACACCGCGCGTGAGATGCTTCATGCTCTGAACGCGTCTCCCCTCTTTGCTTTTTTTCCGCGGGGGCTCTTTAATCTTTTCCGTCTGTACAAGTGCACAATGAACGCTTGCGCATCCCAATTGTTGATGAATGGCGTTTCGGTCCGCACGTCGCCGCTGACAAAAACATGTCCCGCTTCTAGTTCGATATCCCCATGGATACTATACTTCTTGCGCAACTTTGTCAAACGCGTGTCACGTTTGCTACGCTGTTGTGTGATTTTGCGACGCCGCGACACAACGGTACTAACTCACTACGACATCAGTATATTATGACCTCACAGGGGGGCTCCACAATAACAATAGCCGACAACGCCGACACGCGACACCGCGCGATGCTACACGACTCCACACGGCGCTGGAACACACCGAACGACACTACGCGACACCGCACCACGACACTACGATACCATCACGATGCCGCAGAGTTGCCATCGGTCGGGAGCAGGGGCTGGAGGAAAAAGGGAACGACGCGTTTGCCGCTTAAGCTCTGCTGGCCATCGGAACTCGCGCGAAACTCCAAGTGAACGTCGCGTCACGATTGAAACCATAGAGAAACTAGATTATCCGACTGCGCATGTCTTTGGTTACCTTTATACGCCCCATTTTAGGGCGACGCAATCTATACATATCCACTGCTCCCTGGCCAGGCCCATCCTGAACACAGCAGCTGTGTATACGCCACGCCCTCCTGGCCTGGCCAGGAGGGCGTATACACAGCTCCTGGGTTCAGGATGGGCCTGGCCAGGGAGCAGTGGATATGTATAGACTTCGTCCCCCGACCATTTGCCCTTAACCTCAGTACGTTGCATACTGACCAAACTAGATCAGTAATCAGACTGCTAACCCTGGCTAACCATCGAGAGGTCGCCAAACTGCGGGGATCTGAATGCATATTCAAAACATACAGCGCACAGTGATCACAACAGAACTTTGACGTACTACACTTTCTGGCAATGTTGTCTCCAATGGCGTCGGCAAACTCTGGGAAACGAGGGCGCAACATTTGGGCAGTCGTGGGGAATGATTGGTATCAAAGTGCCTTCCATTTGGTGAAATGTATGTACACCAACGGTTATCAGAGTGAAAGGGCCGAACGGTCATTCACTGTCCCTGGGTGCGTGGCTGAAATGGAATTCCGCGGTGAGGATTCTCGTTGTTGTTTGTTGTTGTTTGTTGTCGTCGTCCCACCCGCAACCCACCCGCGACCCACCCCGCGACCCACCCGGCGACCCACCCTGCGACCCACCCGCGACCTACCCGCGACCCACCCGCGACCCACCCCGCGACCCACCCCGTGACCCACCCCGCGACCCACCCCGCGACCCACCCCGCGACCCACCCCGCGACCCGCCCGCGGCCCGCCCCGCGACCCACCCGCGACCCACCCGCGACCCACCCGCGACCCACCCGCGACCCACCCGCGACCTACCCCGCGACCCACCCGCGACCCAAACCACGTTCAAGGTACAAACCACCATTTTTAGCGCCTGAGGCGGGTTTTTTCGGCATTCCTTCCAGGTGGAGAGCCCGCGACCCACCCCGTGACCAACTCGCGACCAACCCGCGACCCAAACCACGTTCAGGGTACAAACTGCATTTTTCGGCGCCTGCGGCGGGCATCTTTCGCATCCGCTTCAGGTGGAGAGCCCGCGGCCCAGCCGCGACCACGCTCAGGGCACAAACCAAATTATTCGGCGCCTGCGGCGGGCATCATTGGCATTCGTTCCCAGTGGAGAACCCGCGGCCCACCCGCGACCCAAACCACGTTCAGTGTGCAAACCATTTTTTGGGCGCCTGCGGCGGGTTGCTTTTGCATTCCTTCCAGGTGGAAGTTGAGATCCCGCGACCCACCGGCGACCTAAACCACGTTCGCTGAACAAGTCAATGCCGCACAAACGCGGCGGCGGATTTTCGCATGCCGTCTGAGCCCGCAAGGACCTCTTCAAGCCCCGCGCATCCACACCAGCCCGTCCAGCAACCCTGCCCTGGCGAGTTGCCTTGATCAGAGAAGGCGGGGGGCATAAAGTGGAAAAAAGGATTGCGTTGCAGTTATATTGGGAAAGGAGGGGGAAGCAGGAGGAGTAAACAGGGGACGAGGCGAACGCGGAAGAAGAGAGGATGCAAGGATAATGTGGAGAAAGAAAAGGAGGAGGAGCAGGAGGACGAGGAGGGGGAGGAGGGGGAGGAGGGGGAGGAGGAGGACGAGGAGGGGGAAGAGGGGGATGATGATGATGATGATGATGATGATGATGGACGACAATGGGAGGACGATGATGGAGGCCGATGAGGGGGAGGACGACAATTGGAGGACGACGATGAAAGGACGAGGGGGGGAGAGGGAGGACGAGGAAAAAGAGGGGGAGGAGGAGGGCGAGGTGGAGGAGGAGGATGACGATGACGATGACGACGAGGACGAGGAAGAGGAGGAAGAGGAGGAGGAGGAGGAGGCGGAGCGTGCACCGAAGAGGTCACCTCCATCTGGCCAGCTACCCTGCGGCTGGCAGGGACCGGCCTGCCTCGACAGAGGCCTCATGTCTCGTCCAAGACGACGTGGGTGAAGTAGAAGAACTCGACGAGGAACTCGAGCACCAGCTGGAGTCGCCGACGTAGTTGGTGGGCAGTTGGGCGTCGCCTTGCACAGGGACGGGCGAGGGCGAGCGGCCCTCCAGCCCCCTCGGTCCCGCATCGCCGCCGAGGCTGGGAGATGCGGGCCCGCCGCCCCTGAGATGAAAGGAAGACAGCGACGAGGGCGCAGGACACGCACCACCGAATCCTGGAGGACAAGAAGAGCGCGTTGGAGACGAGCTGGACGATCGAGAGGAAGACGCGGATGAGGTCGAGGAAGACGATGAAACAAGACTTCTCATAGCCTCCAGAACTGCATCAGAGAGAACGGCATTGGAGATGAGCTTCTGGTCATGGCCGCGTAGTGGAAGCCTTGTTGCCAACCTGGTAGCTTCCACAAGTTCTCTCGCCGCCACATAGTCAGAGAGTTCGATTCGCCTGTGGCTCATAAGTCGGTAGTGGTGATGCATCGCAATGATACTGGCCACAGACGATACGCGGAGGCCCAGACGATGAGCAGGGCAGCGCGGTAGGTCGCATCGAAGCGCCAAGGCTGCAAAATGATGACGTCTCGAGCAGTCGATCACATAATGGCGCACTGTGTCAGGTTGCCCTTGACAACCATAGATGCACGGAGCAGTCCGTTGCATACGTCGGTTCGTAATCCAGCCACCAAGGTAGGTTCGAATGCAAATCATCGCCCATGATTTCGGCACTTTGAGGAGCAGCTGTCGAACCTGATCAAAATCCATGCCAGTGATTCCATAATGCTTACGAAGACGCTGCCGCAAGAGTTCAACACGCCGAGGCGGGAAAACAGCACGATACATAATGGTGGCAAAGATTGCTTGCCATTTGATCTTGGGAGGGCGTGGATCATCAAGAGCAGCTGGGCGTGTTGATGTCCGCGAAGGAGGCCCTGGAAGAGGATCATTCTGGAATAACTCCTGGATTGAATTCGGGATAAACGGCGCATTTGATTGCCGAACCTCGCGAGCAATAAGGCCACCGCGAGCAAGTCTTTTGTCATATGGAAAACCATTGGCCGCATCCTCCAAGAAGCACGCGAAGGGAGCTGACTTCCAAAAAGACGGGGCCAACACAGGTGATGACCATAAATCAGCAGTACCATGAGAGACCAACAGCTCTCTATGTGCCTGAAGACGGCTGCGCCATGAAGTACACGTAACCAGTGCTGTTCTCATGCGAGCCGCTGCGGCGAGGATGTACATGGACTTGAAGTTAGGCCCATTCCGTCACCCAACCGAAGCATACTACTGGGGGTACGTAATAAGCGTGCAATAAGGTGTCGCTGCTCCTGCACCACGGACCATTCAAGAGGAGCGAGTTGGGCCACATGACTCAGCACTGGAAGAGCACGCTCACGATACAGTCTCGCCACGAGTTCGATCGGGGCACCCTGGATGCTGAGAGCAATGGTACGAGTCGCATGTTTGTCCATAAGTCCTTTCCATTGGTCTGCAATAGTCGCCGATGGGCCGGTCTGAAATCCCAAATAAGTACATTGATAAGCAAGCGAGAAGTGTTCCCACATCGAGTCGGCACGAATAAGTTGATCACGCACTTCAGCACAAGCCTCGGTTGACGAAGGATGTCGAAGGGGGATCACCGTGCATTTCTTGTGTTTGAGACGCAACTCAGCAAACGCAGCCGCGAGCCGAAATATTCTGGCGAGGCGACGGCACGCACGATTCTTGAAAATGACAGCGCCCAAGTCATCAGCACACGATCTAGTAACACCCAAACGCGCGCCTGCACATATCATGGAAGCTGCAATATCGAGAATGAAGGGGTTGGCGGCAATAATGTAGAGTGACCCACTGAGAGAGCATCCTTGGAGGACACCAGACTGCCTATGAAATAAGAAGGGCTGCGAGGCCCCAGGGTAAAAACACATAGTGCAGAAGTACATGCCTTCAAGAGCTTTGACAAGTGGCGGGGGAAGCCGAAGACGTCGAAGACACAGAAACAGCCACGACTGACTAACAGATGGGAAGGCTTGGGCGTAGTCGAATGTCATCAGAGAGGGCGCCTGGTCAGGGCACTGTTGAGCTAGAACACTAGCGGCACGTGCGTAAATGTCCAGGTCAGTGATATTGTTGAGGAAGTTTCTATTTCTGATACATCAATTTTGCGATTTAGCTCCTATCACACAGGTGACCTTGTTGAGACATTTATTAAGGACACCACAGACCACCTTGTTGCTTGTGATCTTAAGGCCCAGGGGCCGAGTCTCGGAAGCTTTGCGGAAAAAAAAAACTCCACCTTCGCCAGGCTCATCTTAGGCTTCTTTGAGAGGCTTGGGGAGGAAGACAGCAAGCGTAGCCGAAAAGGCTGAGTCCATGATGTGCCCCAGAGATCCATCGAAGCACCGCTTGTAGAATTCGGGGGCCCAA